TTTTTTTTGTGCATGCCATGCATTTTTTGTTTTTTTTCCCTAGTAGTGTAGACTTATCGTGTTGGTTTTATTGTTGTTGTTTCTTTCACATTCGCTTTGTAGTCCACAAAAATGGGGAGCCCGTGGTCGCAAAACCCGGCACATACGACGCCGCGGGGAAACAACACAAGAATAGAGTACAAACCACTCGGAAAAAGAAAACAAAATGATAGAAAGAAAACAACAGCTACCGCACCGACCGGTCGAGAAAAGGAGCCTTAGGAAACCGATAAAAAAAAAACACATCAAGAAAAATAAAAAAACAAAAAAAAGGAGGGAAAGGAGGACGCTTCCCACACCCGCCTAAAAAAAACAAAGGTGTTTGTTTGTAGCTGAGCACCCAAGAGCACATATTCTCTTGGAAGATATTGAGTTTAGCCCTACTGTAGTCTAGTGTATATCCACGACGACGACCTGCACAGTGGCGTGTAGCTATTATCTCTCATCAGCTACACGCGCATCTTCAAATTGCAATCTTCTTTACCGTCGCCTGCGACTGACTGCTGTCGGGGTCCATACTCACGCGCAGTCACGCCACCTATGCACACGCATATGCTACGGGGCCAAGCAAGATACGAATACTCGTAATCAAGAACAAGATTTTCAACCAAGGACAAGATTTTCAACCAAGGCAGTGTATCCATAATTCGTTCGTCGTACCCCTACTCGCGGCTTGGCACAGGCGACGGTACGATACACTCGACACTGAAAACGAACGTACACAAGTACAAAACCCTCTTATTTTGGCCGAGACTCGTCTCCACTTTGTTTGGCTGTATTGGGTATCCCACGGCGACCAAATGCAATGTAGACTTCTTGACTGCATGAGCACCTACTATATAGTAGTATTGTGGCCAAGTTCTCGTAATTTGATTTTTTGTAGGGCTCAAGTCCTCACCAAGGTAAGTTCTCGCTGTAGGTGGCGCGTTTGCCTTTGTCCTGCTTATTATTAACTTCGGCTTCACGGTCGATGGGAGAAAGGGATATGGCGATGCAGTATAGCAAACCCTTCGATAAAAAAAAAAAACATGGCATAATTTGCCGCATCCGGATTTATTTACTGGTGTGTTTGTGTTCGCCCCGTGTATGCCGGGCGGCATCGCCACAACTAACTCTCGGTGCAATTTTCCTGCTGGCATCGACGGCGCTAACCGGCTGCCAATGAAATAACGTCTTCAGTCTCAGCAGAACTTGGCGCCGGACACTTCAGTCGCTCCGGATGCATTCGTATCACGACCAGAACCAAGTGATGACGAAAAAACGTTCACACTCCGGCGGGGTCTCAGAGCGCGATAAGTTACTGCTGTAGTTATGTAAATTGAGAGCGCGAA